AGTTCATGGTTAGCTGGCTCCAAGGCAGGAACATCATTGTAGAAGGGCATGGTAGAACAAAGATGCTTAGTTCACAGGAGTGGAGAAGCCAAGCAGGGGAACAGCACCAGAGAGGAAGGGACTAGTGAACACACATAGTACCCAAGGTAATACCTCCATGATGTACACAGACATACCCAGAAGTGTGCTTCACTAATCCCTAGGGGCTTCCAAGACAATCATGTTGACACAATTAAGCTTTACCACCACAGAAAGGTATTATCCATGCTATCATACAAATTAACACCTCCTACTCAAGAGAAGGTTGGCAGCATAATATCTGCAGCTCATAGGGTAGGCTCAGATGTCAGACAAATAGGGTTTGAAGTTTAGATTACTCAGGCACTATCACTTAAGAACTATGGATCCTTGGGCAAGTTACTTATAAGTTCTCTAACCTCAGTTTTTTAGTGAAGTGCTGATAGGAGCATTGGACCTAGTACCTGAGTTACTATAAGGATTAAATGGCATACTGTGTGCTAGATAGATGAAAAGAACTCACCATTCAATTACTGTATCATTATTGATGGTTTTTCTCTTTTCCAAATTTGTTGGAGCTATCACTGGTGGAAATGTTGGAGGTGAAACTACCAATATCTAACAAGATCTGTTTCAACATCTATCTTTATCCATTTCTCTTCTATTTTAATAGGAGAGATGACCTTTCTGACCTTTGTTGAAAGGCAATCTTTCTGCTTTCCACGGTTTATCTTTCCTCCTCCTCTTTTTTTTTTTTCTTCAGTAAAGGGGATTGAGCCCTGGGGCTCACATATTAGGTAATTACTCTATCACTGAACTACAACCCCAGCCCTTTTCCTGTATTTTTGAGACAAAGTCTCAATAAGTAGCCCAGGTCAGCATGAAATTTGTAATTCTCCTGTCTCAGCCTCTCAAGTTGCTAGGATTACAGATATGAGCCAACGCATTCCTTTGTTTTTCATTATACTTTCTCCCAAATCTTTGAATCAATTCCTAGGAATTATGCCCTACCACTTACGCTTTTTTGGCTTCTCACTCTCTTTCCATTGATAATTCTTCCTATTTTATGAAGATTCTCCATATAAAATAGAGTCAGCTTTCTGTATCTGTGGGTTCTGCACTGTACCAGTCGTCTTTCCATCACTATAACAAAATACCTAAAGCAATTATTTTATAAAGAGAAAAGGCTCACTGGGTACAGTAATGCACACCTGTAATCCCAGCACTCTTGGGAGGGTCAGGCAAGAGGGCTGCAAGTTTAAGCCTAGCCTGGGCAATTTAGCAACTTAGTGAAACCCTGTCTCAAAATAAAAAATAAAAGAGAACTGAAAGTATAGCTCAATGTGAAGGTACTGAATTCAATACCCAGTAAAAGAGAAAGAGAGATACAAGGAAGAAAGAGAAAGAAATAAAAGAGTTTTTTGGCTCATGGTTCTGAAGGTTCCAGTTCAAATTCAGGTGACCTCATGATTTTAGGGCTCTGGTGAAGCCGGCATCATGGAGGAAGTATATGGCAGGGCAAACCTCTCATTTCATAAGTAAGGAAGCAAAGAACAACAGGAAGAGCCAGGCACATAGTAACACACTTTTGTAATTCCAGCATTTGGGAGGCTGAGGGAGGAGGATTGTCATGAGTTCCAGGCCAGTCTGAACTGCATATTAAAACTCTGTCTCAAAAAACAAACAAACAAACAAACCCAAGAGGAAGAGACTGTTATCCCATAGTCCCCTCAAAGCACTTGCCTTCAATTATTTAAGGACTTCCCACAAGGTCCCACTTTTCAAAGGTTCCAACATCTCTCAATATGCCACACTGGGAACCAAGCCTTTACTGCATTGACTTACCATGGACCAACATCCAAATCATACCATGGACCCACAGATTCAACCATCCACAAATCATAAATACTTTCTTTTTTAAAAACTGCATCTGTACTATGTTCAGACTTTTTCTTGTCATTCTCCACTAAACAATACAGTATGACAACTATTTCACATAGTATTTACATATAGTATTCTAGAGGTGATTTAAAATATACAGGAGGACATAGGCTAATACTAGGACATTTTATATAAGGGACCCGAGCCTCTGAGAACTGTGGTATTCAGGGAGGAGGACAGGGGAGGTTCGGGAACCAACCCCTTACAGATACTGAGGGACAACTATAACTCTCTTCTAGACTTTCCATCCGTAATTCTCAAAGTGTAATGTGAAGAGATACCACTTCAGAATCAACTAGATCCAGTTTAAAATGCAGAGTCCTGGGCTTTACTCAGATCTACTAGGATGTTATGATGTCTTGAGCCTACATGCTAGCAAATACTGCCAGGTGATTCTGATACACCAAAAAGTGAAAAACTGCTCTCTCCATGTCTGATAAACCTGGCTACACTGCGGGTATTTTACTTGCCATGTTCCTCAAATTGCCAAGGATACCACTCACCAACCCACCAAATATGATTCTGCAGGAAAAAACAACAACAAAGAAACCCCTCAAATTCTTGAACTATTAATGTACTCCACTCACAGCTATTCTTTGTCCTTTCCCTCTCATCGCTGTAGAACATAGTGCACTTTCTCCTCCTGGGTGTAATTATGATATCTAAGTACAGTGGACCCTTGACTCACGAACTTAATAGGTTCCTGAGGGCTGGTTGTAACTCAAGTTGGTTGTAAATCAATACAGCTGAGATTGGGATGTTTACCTGGGTACGCACTACAGATAACATGGAGCAGGCGAATATTCCATTAACCTAATGAACTCAAGTTGTTTGTTATGTCACGCTGGTCATAATTTGAAGGTCCATTGTAATTTCTCATCTACTCTCCTAAACACTTCATTGGACCCATTACCCTATCTCACACTTCCAATATCTTTCCCTGTCTCCAGTCTTTTATCTATTACCATTTAAACATGTATACAAACTTCTTTCATTTTCAAAAGACAATTCTTCCTCAGTTTCACGAATCAAACACCTCCAGCCACTTCACTTAATCACCACCTCTTCTCAGCTAAACTTCTTGATGTCGACGCTGCCCACATCTATTTAATTTCTCCCCTCCTATTTCACTGAGGCTACTCTCTAACTTACCCATTTCCGTTGTTTCAATGGTTAACGATGTATCAAAGAGTCCCACATATATTTTCCTAGTCCAAACTTATTCTGAGCTCCACACCCACATAACCAACTGTCTAGAGGGTATTTCTACTCAATGGCCACACGAGTACTTCACCATCTACATCTTCAAAGTTAATTTGCTTCGTCTACTTAACTTTCCCAGGTAAATGGCATCATCCGTTAGTTACTCAATCCAGAAACTTGGGCGCCATCTTTGACTCCTTCTGCTTTCTATATTGTTAACTACTTCTTGTTTCATACCTGGATTGCAGCAACAGCCTCCTAACTGACCTTTCCCTCTTCTAATCCAGAGTGATGTGATGGAGGAAAAGATCCCAATGGCCATTAAGTTCTAAATGTTTGTTATCATTTAGTTAAAAATTAGGCTCCATGCTTCCTGGAAAGCAAGGCAAAAATGAAGAAAAACTAATTTTTATACTCCTTAATGTCTGTTGTAAAGCTAATGCTTTGCTCTACATCAAATTTCCCAGGAGGAGGTTTATATAGGAAGCAGTAAGCAACGTAATGGACAATGTCCTCTACCACACATATCCTGTAATTTCATTTGGCAAGTATTTATGGAGTACTTAACTATGAGCCAGGCACTGTGCTTGCCACTGGAAATTAAACAGTGAATATTGTTATTTCTTATCTAATCTCAGGGTTAAGATTTACATAATATTAAATGTAACTCTCTGAAGACGAGTTGGTGAGAGGAGGGCTTGTTTCTCAAGCTATCCCTGCCTGGTGGTACAATCAGGATCAAAATAAGTTGCAAGTGTTCTTCCTCCTCCTTTGTCTCCAGAGTATGGTCTAATGTCAGGACTTCGGATCTTTCTTTTTAGAACTGAAGCTCACCAGCACTACCATGTAGGATGTACCCTAAAAACACAGGATCCCCAAGAGTTGTTTCACCTACGCTGACAAGGAGCACGTTCCCTCAGACTTGGACTCTGTCATTTTCCCAACCTCACCTGCTCTGGGTTTCTACGGAGATCTACTGCCAACACCTGCCCCACACCCTGGCAGGACAAGCCACCATGATTGCTCATACGGGCCAAAGAGGGTGCTCACTTTTCAGCCACCTGGGAAGGTTCACTTGCGATTCTGGCAACTGAAGAAAAGACATGGAGCCATGGGAATGTTTGACATGTCTACCGTCTCAGCAGCATGGGACTCAGTTTCACTCCCTTATACACGATATCACATAAAGCCACCAAGTTCCCCAAAAGTTACATAATACAGACTACTTGTTTACATACTCCTGGGTTGCAAGTGTTCTTTCTCCTTACATATGTATGTAATTCCGTATGTAACATGCTGACTCACTAGTGAAAAGCCTGAGCTCAGTTATCTTGGGTATCTTTTTTTTTCTAGTACCAGGGATCGAACTCAGGACCTTGAGCTTGTGAGGCAGGTGCAGTGCCACTGAGCTAAATCCCTGGCCCTATCTTGGGTATCTTGATCACACACTCACTGAACTGCCAAGTCTCTGCCAACACTACCCCAAGGGTAGACTGAGGCTGTCTTATCTACTATTGTAGAAAGGTTTTGGCACCCAGACACCTATATTCCACTGCCTGTGAAGGGGCTCTGATGTGATAAAAATTACCAAGGCTGCTGAAGCTGCTCCAATACCAGGGTCTTTCTGCACTGAAACTGTACCTTGTTTTTGCTGAGTTGTCGGGAACAGCTCTCAACTGTTGGGGTTATATCTCATTACACAGGTTCCAAAACTGTATTGTCTGATACTCCCAATGCCTTACTGAGCCTATAGTAAATCATTGCCTTAGTTTGTTTGTGCTGCCCTAACAAAATACCATTGGCTGGGTGGCATAAACAACAGAAATGTATTTACTTACAGCGCTGGAAGCTGGAAGTCTGCAGTCAGGGTAGTCAGGGGCTGGTAAGGGTCTTCTCCCTGGCTTGCAGATGCCCATCTTCTCCCCACATGCTCACAATGGCCTTTCCTCAGTGCATGGGTATGGCAAGAGAGCTCTCTTTCTCTTTTTACAAGACTACCAATCCTACTGGATTAGAACCCCACACTTATGACCTCATTTAACTTTAATTACCTAGAACAGTTACACTGGAGGTTAGGGTTTTAATATGTGAATGGGGGTGGGTGACTGAGTTCATAGCGAACAGGATTCAGTTTTTAATCACATCATGACACACGAAAAGACTGAAAAGTGCATCCATGGGCTGGCACATGGAGAAAAGCAGAGACAAAGTGCAGTGTTCCAGAAGAACTCCCTGCTCTGCACTAGAGTATATTTAGAACCTTCCAGTTCATGAGGGAAGTTTAGACTCAGGTGTGAAGCATGCACTCCATAAGTAGGTCAGCTTCTGTCCCAGTTTCACCCAAGGATACAACTGAGAATGATTAAAGAAATGGTTCAAAGTCATATATTTAGACTCTTCTCATAACTGCCTCTTCTCACAACTTGGCATTTACTTTGCAATGATCATATACGGTTCTAGATTGCATCTTGTTGCAAAGATCTGGGAATACAGGTTTGGGGTGCCTGTATATTCTACAGAGACCAGACCAACAAGTGGTATGAATGACTAGGCTCTTAGATACTGGGGCACCCTTGAGCGAGGTCTGGACTGTTTCCACAAGAAACACAGATTCTGGATTTAAGTAAACATGCCCGAGAACTTAAAGTTCCATGTGATTAAGACGATTCACACCTGAGAATGTTCTTAAAACATCACAGGTGGATGGTGGGGGGGATAGTGAATGTAAACTAAATACAAAGACCGAGGGCCAAGCTTCACAAATGGTAACCACTTAGTTGTTGTAGAATTCCAAAGGACAAGAGACCAAATGGGAATCAGGAGGATTTTATCAGGTGTTCACCTGACCCAGCCGAACTCCTGTCCAAAATTTTGGGTGACTGAACAAAGGAAAGTTCCAGTTTTTATACATTTAGTTAAAGGGTGTTGGTGATCTTTCTAGTGACGCAGTGAGTTTACCAGAACAGGACAATGGCAGACAGTTTAGTAATTTAGCCTTGTAAGAAGACCATCTTATGAATAATATGGGGACAGTGTCATAAACTTTTTTACAGAGCATAGTTGTTTACAGAGAACATAGTTCCTCGGGGGTTACAAAAACTTTATTTACAGGAATATGACTGTCTACCTTATAGGTACCAGGGGAGGAAAGGGGGGTCGGAACCTGAGCAGGAGCTGCTAGACTGCTTTCAGCTAGGAGAACTGATTTCTTTTAAGTTCTGCTTTATAGGTAGTAGGTGTCTCGTCTCGGTTGTTGGGTTTCAATAACCCCGCTTCCAGGACTTCGGAAGTTTTCTACATGTCAAACTAGAATCAAACTACGCCCCTCCACCATCCAGTTCTTCTCCTAACCTGCCCTTGCCTGGCAAACCTGCGGGTTCCACGGACTAACAGCACCTACTCAGCCTGGCCCACCCAGGAACGCTGGGGATCCCCCGGGCCTGGAGACCGGCAGGCGGTGCTGGGGATGGGGCCGGGCTGTGCTGGGGGCCGTACAGCCTACCGAGAGTGCGTGCAGGGGACCGGCCTGCGCGCAGCCCTATGGGAGTTGTAGTTCTCACAGTTCCCGCCCTGCGGACAGACAGTCACCACGGGACTCCTTTCCCATGCTCCTCTGCGCCGGTCCCTTTGGACCCGTTCTGAGAGGGTAAAGAGGTGGGTTGGAGCTTTATAGAACTTGGATTAGGGAGTTCTGTGTCAGAGGAGCTTCCGGGGCCGAGGAACTCAGGGCTACTTCCAGCTCTTTCTACAGTGCTGAAGGCCACATCTGAAGTGCAAGTTTAAGGTTCCCTAGAGGGCAAAAGATGAGGAACTGAGCGCCCCCAGGCCCAGTCTGCGGCGGGAGCGACCAGCCCTGTCCCGGGCGAAAACTCCCAGGGAGGCTTTGGACTCCCCCCTCCGCATCTTCTCCCGCCCTCCCTCTTTGGGATCTCCCTCGTTTGGGAGTTGCTGCCGTCCGCGCGGGTGTTGGGTTTGCTTTCTCACCAGTTCCCGCGAGCTTGGGGGCCAACTCCGAGCCCCAGCGCCCAAGGAGGGCTTGCGTTCCCCTTCTGACTTCATCCTGGAGGGCGGCGAGGAGCTACCACCATGATCACCGGGGTCTTCGGCATGCGCGTGTGGGCCCCGGTGGGCGCCCTGACCTCGCTGGCGTACTTCTTCCACCGGCAGCGGGTGGCCTTGGCCGAGCTGCGGGCAGCAGACGGCCAGCGTACTATTGACCGCAGCTTGCTGGAGCTGAAAATGGTACAAGTCGTGTTTCGACACGGGGCGCGCAGTCCCCTCAAGGCGCTCCCGCTGGAGGAGCAGGTGAGGGGTGGGTCAGGCCGGGCTGGTGGGGAGGAAGGGGAAGTGTGGGAGCAGGCACCTCCCCGAACACAGAGATCCGAGTTATGCTGCGTGGAAAGGGGTCTGCGTGGGTCCTTGCCCCCTCTTCTGTAGCTCCCTGGGCGCTCAATGCATGGACCCACTGGGCTAGGACAGCCCCAAAACTTTCAGTTTCATCCCATAGCTGGTTTTCCTAAGGCGCAAAAGAATCACCTGGTGATCTTGGTAAAATGCATACTTTAACTCAGCAGGTGTCTGGGTGAACTTGTACAGGGTTGCAGTGCACTTGCGTATGATTGTTTTAATGGTTGTCGGAGTTGCTGGGACCTTTTTAACGGTGATACCAGAGGGCGACATGCCTCTGGGAACACATTTTACAATAGCTCTTTTCTCAGGGTTGCCAGAGGCCATTTGAGATCTCCTGATGGTACTTTTGGTAACAAGTGCAACGTCTTAGGGTTCTTTTACATTTTAGGATTCTAAACCTGTAGTGAAAGGGATTTTTAGTAGAAAATTTAAATTTAAAATTTAAAAATTGGCTAGTGTCGTGGTCATGATGTCTTAAAAATCTGCCTGCTTTGGCCAAGATAATTATGATTAAAGCATAATAATTAGTTGGTTTTTATTGTTTTGGTTTAGTTTGGTTTGGTTTTAAATGATTATCTTTCCTGGATGTGACCTCTCATAACAGAGGGGCTTAGTGAAGAGAAACAGACAATCAGAAATCCCTATGCTCCCAATTGTCACACTTACCTGTGGAATGCTTTTGTGTAATTAGTTTTCCAGGTTGATGTTGGAGCAGGTCAAACAGGTATTAGTTGTATTCTTCATTGTCATAGCTGCTTTCCCCAAACTGTGAAGATTGTATCTTTACATTGTACAACTGAAAATCCAATTTTTAAATTGGTCACGTATGAAATCAAACCTTTAAGGCATTTCTTTCATAAATAAGTATATTTTTGCAGCCACTTAATTCTGTACCAGTTTTTGAGTTCGTCTTCCTATGACTATCCTACTTTCTAGCTGGTACTGGAAATTCTTTTCTTTCTTTTTGATGCTATGATCTTTTTTCAGCCTCTTACCTGGTGTCTTAGTTACTTTTCTTGTTGCTGAGACAAAATACCCAACACCCAAAGTTAGAGGAGGAAAGGTTTATTTAGCCCACAGTTTGTAGAAGTTTCAGTTCATAGTTTGGTGGCTCCAAGGCAGGGTGGCATAGCAAAAGGGCATCGCAGAGGAGAGACAGTTCATGGTAGACAGAAGGCAGCAAGCAAGCGACGACATAGCAAAGCAACAAGTGACAAGGCACAGATTTTTTTCTGTCCTTTAAATTGTATCCAGGCTACCTGCTCTTTAGGTGGGTAGCACTCACACCTATAGTGGAGAACCCTTATTCCTACCCAGAACTATGCCAAACCAATCAGTGAAATAATTTAGTAATCACCCTTAATCCCAGCATCACACACTGTAGATCCTGCCACCTCTGAAAGGCCCACCTGTGCCACATGAAGCTTTGGGAAGACATCCAGATACAAACCATAACACCTGGATTTTTTGGTTTTTTAAACCAGGAATTGAACTCAACTATACTGAGGTACAATCCAAGCCCTTTTTTATTTTTTATTTTAAGATGGGTTAAATTGCCCAGGCTGGGCTCTAACTCCTGATTCTCTGGTCTCAGCTTCCCAGAGTACTGGCATTATAGGCATGTTCCACCATGGAGAAAGATTTGGGCCCTGGAGAAGGATTTAGATTCTTTTAGAGATTTTTTTTCTGAGTCAGTGGGTGTGTGATGGGTATCTTCTGCCTTTATGGTTAATGGGGTGGCTTTTGCTTAGCATACCAGCTTTATTCATTTTCGGTCTGTGTAGGTACAAAATATGGAACATCTGATTCCATGGCCTCACTTTGCAGTGAGAGAAGGCACATGTACCTCTCTTGCCTGCTCATACTCTGAAGATGTTAGGCAGATCCTTTAAACATCTTTGGTTAGTTATCAGTAGTATAAACTCTTATATATAAAAGCCAGGAATGGAACCAACTCTCTTTCAACTTAGACTATTAGTGAATGTCATCAGGCTTCTATAACTTATTTCTGGATATCTCAGATTTTTTCAGTATCCAATTGGATAGACACTGTTATAGGAATTTTCTGATCTTTCTGGTTCTTTTATTTTAGTTAGATGAGACTGCCTTGCAACAATTCTGAAACAAAAATTGCTTTTGATACATGTTTCCTGATTTCTAACTGGCTTATAGATAAAACATATATGATAAGTCATTCAGTTATCTCATAAATCCTTAAAAAGTAGCATTGTTTAAAACTGTGTGTTTTGTTGTTTCTTATAGATTGAATAGCTGTTGATTTAACCTATCTTGCAGAAAGATTATGCTTTGGAAATAAAATTATGGAACTTAATTGACCATTTTTCTGATCAGTAGAGTAGATCCAAGTACATTTTCAAAAGAGGACCTGATACTGCTTTCAGGTTTCCCTTAGCTGACCCCTGGACTGTGGCAAGGTGACCTCCACCAGGCAGGTATTTATTCTTATACAAGTAAGTTAGGCCTACCTCATATCCGTAGTTAAGGCATTTTGGTTCTTATTTGAGAGTATAGATGAGAGTATAGATTTCTATCTAGAGCTCAGCTGAGAAAAGTGTTATTTAGGAAGCACTGCATGAAGGTTGTACCAGTCAGTCCATCCATTCCTCTGGATTGATGGCTCTTAACTTTGGTAAGACATCGGACTCAAATGGAGAAGTTTAAAAATCACTGATGCTTTGCAGGCTTGATGGCCGACGCTTGTGATCCCAGCATTCAGGAGGCTAAAGCAGGAAAATCATTGCCAGTTCAAGGCTAGCCTGAACTACATACATAGTGAGACCTTGTCTCAAAAAACAACCAAACAAAATTACTGATGCCTGAATATTCCTCCCAGAGATTCTGATTTAACTGGTCTAGGGAATCCAGACATAGTAAGAGTTTCTTTGGTGAAGCTTTAAAATTATCTGGATCCTACAACATTAGAAAGTAGAGACTCCAGCTCTGTGATTAGCCTGTCTGATTACCCCAGGATGGGGCTTAAGCATCAGTAACTTTTAAAAAATTTTCTCCATGATGCCAGTGTACAGCCAAGTTTTAAACCATCACTTTATTCTAAAATCTGTACCTAGAAAGTTTTTGTTCACTCTTATGTAGATTTTTTTCTTTTACCTAGAATGTAGCATATTGATTCCCGTACAGAACTTCCTTCACTGCAGTGTGTTTTAGTGTTGAGGGAACTGGGAGAAACATTCCCACAGAAGTCATTGCAGTGACTACTGGAAAGATGTTCATTCTGTACTCTATCCTCTTTATGAGGACCCTTGGGAGAAATTTGTCTGTTAGCATTAGAAATGGTATACTTCTCCCAACAGTTAGCTTGCTTTTATCTTTAAACTTGTATAGCTGATCACATTTCCCCTTTTACATAAAAGCCAGGAAGCTTAGTGCCAAAGCTGTGGCCCACGGATGATAAGTATTTGGATCCTCGTGGTGTGCATTTTTTAATAAACTTACCACTGTGTTCATTTTTGTTCTTGTACTTGTTTCCTTTTGTCTTTCTTTCCTATTTTAAAGTAGTATTGCTATAGTCTATTTTAAGTTTCTTTTTGAAAATGGGCTGTAAATAAAACAAATACAATTATCAAGTTAGTCCTTACCACTAATTTGGAAGCCGAAGAGCAGGAGTAACAATGAGAGTGTGCGTGTAGGGTGGGTGCCATAGTGAAACTGATGTATTGTCCATTCTTGAACATCGGAAAATGTAAACTTGGCATGACTGGACTTTAGAAATTGTCCCCTGGGAAACACTAAAGATCATCAATTGGTGAATGTGCCTAAGAGGAGGAGATTTCTCAGTGGAAAGGGCTTGTAGCCTTGTACCTTGTCTAGCCTGTGCTAGACAATGGATTTACCAGAATGGCTAATTTAATCTTGGCTTTAAAGTTTACAACATGGTAAGGGAGAGGGACAAAACAGATTTTAATTATGGCAATATGTGGAGAGAATACTGGGAACACAAGGAGCTATCTCAAATTTAAAATGGTCAAAACTGAACTCAGCTTTCTAGAAGTTATTCTATCTTTGTCTTAGTTTTAGTCTCTATTATCCTCTCCACGTTAGGCACACAGAGTGAAAATCAAAGTAGTTTCTTCTTTATTCCTCCTTGATTACCTACCAACCCATCTGCCAAGTAGAGCTTTCGTCTCCTTAGTTGTCAAGTGTAACTCAAATATCTTATATCTGTCTACCTCTTCTGTTCCTCCTTCCTTGGATGAGACCTTAGTGGCTTATGTAGACTTGCTGACATTAGAAAATTTGCTTTTCTGTATCTGGTCTTTCCGTTCCAGCTGTGTGGGAGACTTGGCTGAGGAGTGAATGGTTAAACTGTGGGCAGAAGCACAAGGGCTCTATGAGAAATGAATGGTTAAACAACAAGTTTAGATTAGTGAACCATGTTATCTGCCCATTGTCCTTTTCCTTTCTTCAAGAAAAACTGCCTGGCCTTGAAACAGCTCCTTCCCCAAACGTTTTCTTTTGCTTTTTTCACTTACACTGATTCTCTGAATAAAAGCTGGAGAGTTCTCTGCTTTGGGGCTTCTCCTGGGAGTCTCCCTCATGCTGGTGCTCTCCATTGAGGTAGCTCCTCTGGGCCTCTCGTGATTGATCTAAGTCTTGTCTCCGAGTAATCTTCATCTTCTATGCCACCATGGTCACACACTGAGACACAACTGTAGTAGGTATATACTGCCAGCTTTCTAACTTCTCTTTGACGCTGTGGGCCATGGTGGTGCTGAGTGGCTGAGGTTCTGAGTTCCTATTCCCACTTGAACTAGAGAAACTTTTTGCTTTTATATGTACAAATTAAAGTTCAACTTTCCTTGGTACTTGCTAATTAAAAAGTTTGAAAGCCATTCCTAGGTTGAGGCAAACTAAACCACTTCTTTACTGTAATTCTTCACCACCTACACCTTGCTTGGTTTTTCTGTCCTTGGAATTTGAAATTCTACCCTCTCACCTACTTCTTACAACTTCAGGTTTGTGCTTGTCTAAATCCTATTCACTTCAAGTGCCAGTCCTTCCATAAAGCTTTTCCTGAATCTCTAGCCAAAAGAAAAGGTCTGTAGGGTCGGGGATTTAGCTCAGTGGTGCCATGTCTGCCTTGCAAGCACAAGGTCCTGAGTTCAATCCCCAGTACAGGGGGGGAAAAAAAGAAAAGGTCTGTCTTGCCTTTGAACTATGACGGCCTTTATCCGACTTCTTACAGCCCTTATCTATTATGGCACTGCTATTATTTACATTCATAGCTTGCTTCCTCTGCTAACCTGAAAAGCCAGGAAGGGAAGGATCAAGTTATCTCAGGCTTGCTATCTTCCACTGGGTTTGGCAAGTTGTCAGAGCAATTAAATGAACTTGTGCCATGCCAGGCCTTTTTAGGGCATCCAGAATGTAGGGGTCCATGGATGACCACGTCTCTTCTCAGGAAGCTAAGTCTACCAAACAGGACAGACCAATAAAGGTCTTCCCCTAGCATATTCTGGTAAAGACTCTCACAGAAAGTCACTGAGACTGCTGTGTAGGCTCTGGCCATGGTCAAGGCTTGTTGGGTCTTAGGGAATGAATGAGAGTCTTTCCAGATAAAAGAAGAAAAATTTGCAGGCAGAAGAAATGACACTGAAAAGCCAGGAGGTGTGAGACTGGTACTAAAGGAATTAAAGTTTTGTTTCTTGAGAGTAAGTGTGGGGGACAGGGATGAAGTGGTGAGGAGGATGCTAGAGAAGAGACTGGGCCATCACACAGCTGTGAGGTCTTAAAGAGTTTTACCCAGCACAATTAGAGGATCCAAGCTGGGAAGAAGAAGGAAGGTGTCTTTTGCATGAAGTAATAAAGTTTATATTCTGATAGTAAGATAGTAGAAGGACCATTGCTAGTAACTTTTTCACTAGCCAACAAATCAACAGTGCTTGGTGCGAGGATCATGGGGCAGAACAGAATCAGAGGCTTGAGTTTTCAGGCCTGGGAGAATTACTGTTGGACTGAGAGAGACATAATAGTTTGGGAAAGAGGAGCAGGTATATGGGGTTAGGAAAAAAATTGAAGTCATCACATCTGACTCAGTGAGTGTTAAGAGTTTTATGGTAATTGGAACTATGAGATCTGTGGCCACTTGTGATGTTTGTCTGTTTATCCACTTGTGATGTTTTAAAAACCATTATATTACAGTTGGGACAGGGACCAGATTGCAAGAAATAAAGGAAGATGTGGAAGAAGCAAAGCCTTTAGATGGGATGTCCTTGTTTCAAAAATAGGTCGTGAGGAAACGAAAAATATATGGTAGTGACAAAGGATATTAACCGGAGTCCTAAGTTGCCAGGCATGGAAACCTGCAGATTGATTCTTTAGAAATGCTTACAAACATGGTCTTTAAGATCATATTTCATTCATTCATTAATTCATTCATTCATTCATTCATCCATCCATCCACTCACTTAGCAGGTATTTGTGTGCCAGATACCCCATCACCTCTCCCTTGTGCTCCAGTGTGAGCTTAGTGCTAGAGCAGCCTCTTAATGGTGAGTATTAGTGTAGCAATAATAGGACATGCGTCAAGACTCCTAGAAAAATAAATTACGGTCATTTCTTCTTTTGATTGGCAATAAAGTTTCTTCTCATGGGAACATTATAGGGTTGCTGGGTGTTAATACTGTGAGTTTTAAGAAACTTTTTTTTAAAACTATGCTTTTTTTTTTTTATGGTCATAACAGGTAGAGTGGAACCCCCAGCTATTAGAGGTCCCTCCTCACACTCAGTTTGATTACACAGTCACCAATTTAGCTGGTGGCCCCAAACCACATTCTTCTTATGACTCTCACTACCGAAAGACCACCCTGAAGGTGAGCAATGCTCTTCTGCCCTGGGAGGCCCACTGCAAAGCTTCAGCGGTTCTCCATGGGCTGAGTTCAGCATGCTGTCTGGTGTTTCATTCTTCTCCTGCTTCCTTCCCCACTTCAGGGGGGCATGTTTGCTGGGCAGCTGACCAAGGTGGGCATGGAGCAGATGTTTGCCCTGGGAGAGAGACTGAGGAAGAAATATGTGGACACCATCCCCTTTCTTTCACCATCCTTCAAACCCCAGGAGGTCTTGTAAGTCACCAGAAGAGCAGATGTTGCACCTGATTAAGTTCTTGGGCATGAGCAAATCTGTACTGATCCCCACAGCAGTGTCAGATTGGGAAACAATTTGCCGTAATGCAGTTACTCTTATGTCACAGGATCCTGTGAAGAGGTGGTCACCAGAGGTCACATTCATTGGCCTTTGAGTCCCACCATCCCAAGAGGTAAAGCGTTCTTTCTAGTCCCATCACACTCCTTATGTGGTCTTAAAAGACTCCCAGCTGCTTAGTGGAATAAGGGAGAGTTTATATAATTTCGTTTTCCTTTTATAAGCATCTCTGCCTTTTCATTTTTTTCCAGTGTTCGTTCCACTAACATGTATCGGAATCTGGAGTCTACTCGTTGTTTGCTGGCTGGGCTTTTTCAACGTGAGAAAGAAGGTTTGTGTTTGAAGTCTAAAAGTCAGCCCCTGTTCCTGAGCAGCTCTTTGTTCTCACTTCCAAAACCTCTCTCTTGTCCTTGGCGCCTGTTCCTTTGATCTCTCTTCCACACATGTGACTTCTGGCTGTACCCATTCTAGAGGATCCTTCCCAGTCTAGCCCTGTGCTTCCCTTGCCACCTGACCTGGTATGCCCCTGGCTCCTGACTTCTCAGGCTTCTCCACAAGATGCAAAAGGGCAGCCCTTTCCAGGTTTTATGAAGAGTAGTGAAGCACTGCTGAGAAGAGAGGATGGCGGGTGGACCCTTAGCTGGGAACTAAGATTGCTGCTCCTGCTGTGATATTGGTGATAATCCATAGCATGATCTAGGGGCTATTAATAGTATTCTGTTCAGCCTTTCCTAGGTAAAGAAGTCTATCGAGTTTGGGTTTTGATATACTCAACCAGTAAGTGATTACCGTCAGTAATTCCCCAATTGTACACCACCACCGACTGCATTTCTTATTTCCCATGTATTGAGAGCTTCTGGGCATCAAATGAATCTGTATTTTGTCATTTGTAATTGCTTCAAATTCACATTTAATTACTGGTCTGGATTTCAGATCATCTTGCCCTCACCGCTATTAAAATACTATCATACTGCATTGGAATGCTATTAAAATGATACCATAAGGCAAAGGTTCTTATTCTGTGTAGCTTTTTTCTGCAGTATCTCAAATAGAAACAAAATTTCCATCAAACTTTTAAAAATACATAAAATAATGAAACTTTCAGGCCAGAGGAGGCTCGCCTTGTTCCCAACTGGATTGGGTGCTCCTGTTAATTCTGGGTGAAGGTGGCTATTAATCACAGTGTGGTTCTAGGTAACATAAAGCAAACAGGGTGGACTGCCCCTTGGTTCTTGGGAGCCCTTGAGCTTCAGAATAATCCACAGTGCCTGATCTTCTGAAAGTTCTTCACTTGCTCAGCTTTGAAAAGTATGGCTGAGGAGGAAAGAAGGCGGCTCCTTTACGTATCTGCATGTTGTAGATCAATGAAACGATACTTGTAAAGTTCTTAAAATAGCGTTGGTACATACTGAATCTTTCCAGTGTTAGAATAATAATAAGTATGGGGCTTAGATTGACCTGATTACTCTGTAGATTGGACTCAGTGAATTCCAGATTGATGCTGATGGGAGCTGTTTCTTTTGCTGTGAGACCTGAACTGTGTGAAAGAACCTGCCACAGGCACAGAGCAGAGCATAGGAAGATGTTAGAGCACCTTCTTTGGTCACTGACCAGAGAGGACAAGGACAGCATCCTGTTTCCACCAGTGAAGGAAATGGTACCCTACCTTCTGGCATGGCTGGTAGAATAACAGTGCCCTGTCCAGGACCCAGAGGTATTTGGACTCCAGCTTGACTTCTGTCACAGCTGCTTCTGTGCCTTTCCCAATGTCAAGGGACTTGAGTGAGCCAAAGAACCTCAGAAGGTGCCACCATTAATGGAAGTGGCACAACTTTGGATGCTGCTTTAGGAGTAAAATCCTAGAGGAGTGCTGGAGGGTTCATGTGTAAGCTACAGAGAATCAGGCTGTGGGGGAAGCCAGAGATTTAATTAGTCTGCCCCATTTTGTCATTTATTCAACATTCATTTCAGTGTCTGCTCAAGTGTGTTTATTTACCATAACTATAGTTGCAATATTCCAGTACCAGTAATAGACTGCACATGGAATGCTAGAGGTTTATAGTGTTACAGTACACACTGAAATCATAGTTATTATTATCCTAAAAGGGTTCGGTATTGTGATAACACTGTGAGGTAGGTATTATTATCCACTTTCACAGATAAGAGATCTAAAAGAGAGCCTAAGTGACTTGCCAGGCACACAAAACTGGTAAATGGTGCAGGTGGGATTCAGACTCTTGACATTCTGGATTCAGAATCCATCCTCTTCACCTTGCGGCATGGCTGCTTCTGTGAGGACATGTGTATCTGGAGAAGGGCACTGTTCTTTTCACACGTCTTGCAGAACTCCTAATTCTTTTTGCAGGGGAGCCCGCTGGGGTCCCAAGTATTGTCTACCTGCATGTTCTATGCACCTTCCTTCCTATGGTTCCTACAGCCCCTCTGAAAGCCCCCAATGCTTCGCTTTGCAGATCCCTCTCTTCTGCAGACAAATTTTCTTGCTTTGTGTAATGGTAGAGAAGGTTCCACTGCTTCAGAGCAGTTGAAAAATCACTGATGTAGTCCTACCTTTTGGTTTACAGACGAGCCCTAAAGGAGGGAAGTGACTTCCCAAAGCAGCCCTACTTGTTAGTTGTGGATAGATTTAACTCCAGTGACTTTCAGTCTGGCTTTCTTCTTTTCGGAGCAACAAAGGAGGTCTGAATTCTGATATTCTCATAAAGTTACCATAGCTACTTTTAGAGTCCTGGGGCTCTTGCTATCAATAATTTGTTTGGAAATAAATTGCTTTTGGGGACTTAGATTGACCTAATTTACTCTGTAGATTGGACTCGGTGAATTCCAAATCGCTGCTGATGGGACCTGTTTCCCTCACTATGAGGCCTGAACTGTGTGAAAAGAACCTGCCACAGGCACAGCAGAGCGTAGGAAGATGTTAGAGCATCTTCTTTGGTCACTGACTGGAGGGGACAAGGGCAGCATCTATATATACGGAACATTGTTATAGTCTAATCTTTGGTTTCTAGCAGTTTATCTAGAAGGCTGTCTTTTATTTTGGGCAGGACCTGGAGTGTGAGAGTATTTGTGACCTTGTAGTCACCATTTTCAGTTTATCATTTGATAAGACACCACACTCAACTGTACGGTTGACCTTTGGGAAGCAAGAAAATAACCTGATTCTGATCAAGTTGGAGACAGCCTACTTGTGAGAATGCCCAAGTGCTGGTAGTGCTTCATGGCGGGGGTGTTTTGGAATGGGGAGGGAAATGCCAGTCTGATCTTGGTCTCTACCTGCTCCAGTCCATTTGTGGTCCAGTGTCAGGCATGTGCTACACTGAACAAGGCTGGTACTTGCCTTCCCCAGTGCGCAAGCTGTAGAAGAGCTCCTGGTGGCAGAGCCAGGGCGTGTTGAAGGCGTTCATTGTCCTTAAGGAGTGATCTTGTGATTTGCTTCTTGGAGCTCTTCTGTCTATAGACAAAGAGAAGAAGAAGTACAAAGTGGGATGCTGGGAAGAAAAAGCTGACGCCCCTTCCTGGATGAACTTTCTTCCTTCCAGGATCCATCATCATCCACACTGATGAGGCAAGCTCTGAAGTCTTGTACCCCAACTACCAGAACTGCTGGGGCTTGAGGCAGAGAACCAGGTAACTGCCCTGAGGCTCTCAGTCACCAGGGGAAACAGCCTCTTCCCACCTCTACTGGCAAACTGCCTGCACGGGGACCCTGCCCAGGCTTGCCCCTGGTAGATAAGGGATGTGGGGCAGAATTGCACTCAGATTTGACTTTAGCTGTCTGGGAAGTAGAGGAGCTCTTGCTCATGCTGGTGGGCTCTTAATGAAGCTACAGGAAGCCTGGGTAAAGCCACTCTGATGGAGAGATGACAGCACAGCCATGAATGGGGCTGTGCCTTTCAAAGCATTATCCTGACAACTCTGAGCTCTGGAGTGGGGCAGAGGAGGAAACTGACAGGTAAAATAAAAGATGACTGAGCTAGTCATCCACTTGCAAATCCAGGTGTGCAAACATGGGAAGACACCACCTTCCCTTCCCTTACCAACATGCTGCTGTGTAAGGTGGATTGGTTTGGGCTGAGCAGTTTTCAGTCCTTAGATCTTTATGGGCTGTACTAAGACTATATCATATATGTTCCACAGAAGAAAAGAATGTTGTTTTAAGATAGATCTGGGCTTTGTGTTGTTTCTGGTATAATAAATAGAAGTACTAGAGTGGATTCAGAAAATCTAGCCTTTTATGCTAGCCCTGGTTCTTGTTAACTTACTTTTACAAGTCGTTTGACATTATGAGCCTCACCTTACTCATCTTTAAAATGAGAATAGTACACCTAATGCCACTGGGCTGTGAAAGCTAAATGAAATCTCAGGTGTTGAACGAAACCCAGTGCCAGCTGTCGATCATCGTATTATATAAGGGATTGTTTTTATTTTTTGGCAGGGGCCGGAAGGAGGCTGCTGCTTTGCAGCCAGGGATCTCAGAGGATTTGAAGAAGGTGAGAGAAGGGATGGGCACTGACAGAAGTGAGGAAGTGGACTTCCTCGTTCTCCTAGACAATGTGGCTGCCGAGCAGGTGAGTGGTCTGTTTCCCGGGGCCCTAGGCTGGGGGCTGTGGGTGGGCACTTGGCTGGGCTGGCTCCCAACAGAGAACTGGGTGGGGCCCACTGGTTTGCAGACAGATGTGATAGGACTTGCAGATGGGATGGGCGTGGGCACTGAGGGACACAGAGCAGTCAAGCAGGGGTAGGAACCATCAGGGAGGACGCAGCATTCAGGAACATAGATATTTAACTCTAGATCTGTTTCTTTTTTTGGTACGGGAGATCAAACTGGGGACCTTGGGCTTGCATGGCAGGCGGCGGAACCACTGAGCTAAATCCTTGGCCCTTAGATCTGTTTCTTGACGCATGATCCTTAGAATACTGAGGTGTGAGTGTGTATTTGTCATAGAGCAGTCTGGGAATGGGGTGGATGGGTAGTGAGCATTATGATAGGGAAAGAATAGTAAATCTTTACGTGTAAAATTTAATTTAGCATATTTTATGTTCTGAATATTTTTGAATTCCTATTACATCCTTTTTTGGAGGGTCAATATGCATATCGGCATATTGGAAAATTTTGAGATACCTATAAAAAAATTTGGCTAAATCTTATAACTGTTTTCCTCAGACTAATTGAGCCATAGTCTTTTCTTATGCAATCAATATATACAAATTACACAATGAGAAATATTTCTCTAGATTCAAAAGCTGAGGCAATATAAGATCCTCTTTTCTTCTCTTATTAAAATGACAGCATGCCCAAAAGGCATAAATGTACCTTATGTGTATGTGTAACTAGGTTTAAATTAAAAGGCAAGAGTTCATATAAGGTATCTGCATGCACTTTTTTTTTTTTCTGGAACTAGAGATCGAACTCAAGAGCTTATACTTGTGAGGCAGGAGCCGTGCCACTGAGCTAAATCCCCAGCCCTTCTGTATGCACTTTTAAAAATTCACTGTAGGAAAAATGAAAGTCAAGTAGAGATCCATGAATTCCTTGCCTTGTATTTTACCTTTTTTTTTTAAGTTAAAAAATACAATTTTGGGGACTAGGGGTGTGATTCAGTGGTAGAGTAGTTGCCTGGCATGTAAGAGGCCCTGGATTCAATTCCAGCACAGGAAAAAAAAATTAAATTTTGAAGCAGATGGGAGCAGCAGAAAGGGCAGAAAAAGAATTCTTTAAACTCTGGGCTTTCAGAAATCAAGGAATACATAGCTTCAGAAGGGTGTTGGGAACACAGTTTCTGCACTGAGTGGGCCCTCCCTGGAGGAAGAGCCCCAGGGAGGCTCCATGGAAGCCGGTCAGCTGCCAGGTGAGAAGCGTTTCTTTCTAGTGCTGCCTGTGGTCCTTTCAGGTACACAATCTCCCCAGCTGCCCCATGCTGAAGAGATTCGCACAGGTGATTGAACAGAGGGCTGTGGACACCGCCTTGTGCATCTTGCAGCAGGAAGACAGGTGAGGGACCCTTTAGCTGCTGGCACCACATCATGCGTGCTTAGACCCCCAGGTGTGTGGGAATAAAGGGTTCATCAAGTTCTCTCACACCTGCCATCTGGCATCACTGTGAAGAGACTGAAGTGACCCCACACTGCAGATCCTGGTCCTTCTACTTCTGAGTTGAGGCTGGTGACGTAGTGCTTTCATTTCCTGTTACATAGAACTAGGATCCACCACCTTGCTGAGTGTCTTTTAATCACTCACTCTTTCCTTTTGCTTTAACGTTCAAAGGATTTAGGTACGGGAGCTGTAGGAAGAATAATTATTTCTCACTATTTATCATATCATATCACAATTTGTGAATCAGTTTCACATTCTCACTGTGCAGTAGGTGACATTGTCCTTGGCTTTGAAGATGAAGAAAGTAGGGCGGAGAGAGATTGACTACCTTGCCTGGGCTCAGCTCACGGATGGTAGAGCCAGAACTTGGACCCAGATCCCCGGACAGCAGTCCTGTGTTTGCTTAGTCTTTCTGGTGCTAAGATTCTGTTTCTAGAGGTCCTGTTTCCTGACTAACAAAAAGGACGGGTTTTCTTTTACCAGATTTCAGAAGCTGCTTTTTCTCTGATGGATAATTTAATTCAGCTTGCACTCACAATAGGTGAGTTGGTAGAGGGGAGAGATGAGAAGAACAGTTCTGGGAAAGGCAGAGTATGTTTGTTGAGGGGAATATCTCACATTTCAAGAATTTGTACCATCTGTTAGCTTAGAGCGAGAGCCCCTGACTGTATGGACTCAGCGGCAGCATGTCCCTCTGTGTACTGGCCTTGGGCCCAGTAAGCTCCAGCCAAGCCATTCAGCTTCCTACCACTCCCTAGAACCTGCCAGCTTCCCTGTAACACAGCCCCACCAGACCCAAACTGGCACTTGCTGCCCTTCCTCTCACCGGTTCTCACACGCACATTCAATAAATACGTTCGGTTTTACTGGTCATGTCATATCTGCTGCATCTATTCATCTCTGCCCATGTAATAAGCAGCTATAGACAACATGCCAACACATGGGTGTGGTGTTCTAATGAAACTTAACTTACACAAACAGGCAGGCAGGTCAGATTTGGCCATGCCATAGTTTGCCTTCTCCCGATCTGTTGTCTTTTCCATTCCAGTTAGCCTGCCTTCATAAAATGAGTGTCTCTTCAAAGACAAATGGATACAAGCTCACAGTCTAGCTTGGCTTGAGCTGCATAGATTCTTCTGGAAGGCATATGTCACATATAGTGTTGGTTGTCTACTCTTTATCCATTGCTTCGACATTCCTTGCCATAAAGATGGCAGTTTACCCAGTTACCATGTGTAAAAGATTAGTTGAAGCCAGTCACAACCACCTTGTTCCTTTTTTTTTTTGGTACTGGGGATGGAACTCAGGACCTTGAACCTGCCAGATGGCGCTGAGCTAAATCCCTGGCCTCACTTGTTCTCTTTTGTTAATGATTGGGTTTAGGGAATTCTAGGAGAGGTGTTGTTTTGAGGTATTTTTCCTCTTTGATAAAAAGTGAGAGGAACACAACAACCACTCCTTTCTGCCACTTGCCAGCCTCACTTTTCCTGCTTTGTTTACCTGTACAAGAGGATATGTTTTGAGTTACAGTAGTCACCTTGTTATTGTGAAGTGACAGGCCTGAGAATGTAAGTAGTGGAGCCACAGAGCCAGCCCTGGGACACTATTGCTGAACTTCTTATTAAGTAGAATAAATAAGACAAATAAATATCTTGGGCCAGGGATTTAGCTCAGTGCTTCTGCCTGCCTTGCAAGCACAACATCTTGAGTTCGATTCCTGCTATTAAAAAGAAAAAAAAGAAATATGTTTATGACCTAAATCTCAAAAGTAGGAGTGCTGGCACATGGGAAATGTAATTTAGGATGTTATTCCTTCTAACTGCTCTTTTGGAATTTCTGGAAATCATCACCCCCATCCTTCTCATCTTTGTCTTTCTATTCCTTGAGGCTTGGTTCTTTATAATTTATCCCAGTTACCATCTGCCTGCTCCCTCAGCCCCTTCCATTTCATCTGTGTTCTTAGCAGGTCTGTATCCTGGAGCTTTTGTAGTTGGAAGTCTGTGTTCACAGTCAGCCCTCAAATTAATCTTTCTCCTTCCTGCCCTTGGCTGTCCCTTCTACAGTCTTTTTTCAGCTCCGTCTGATTGGCCTTTTGAGGTCCTGTGGAGCAGAACCAGTCTATATCGCCTGAGTGCTGAGCACCTACTGGACTCTTAAAGGCTGTTCACTTTTCACAGGGAAGGTCTGCAGATGGCAGTTGGCCCATTCCTACACGTCCTGGAGAACAACCTACTGAAGGCTGCAGACCCTGCCCCTCCACCCAACAAGACCAGGTACCTGGCTCAGCAGCTCTTCTTTGTGCAGAGGACAGCACTGGGGGCCTCTGGCTTCAGGGAGGGAAACCTCTTGGCGGTAGGGGGAGGCAAGAACCAGGCTGTCAGTGACTGCAAGTAGATATTTAAGAGGCCACACGTCCCAAAGAGATTTACACCCTTTTTACCTTTGTTTTTGCTTGCAGCTCTTGTGCCATGTTTTGAAAATGTTATTTTAGCCAAAAAGAACCCTAAACTTCTTTTTACATAATTGCTTAATAGATTAAACACCTTCACTCAGGGTATAGAAAGCATGTGTATTATTTTCCCATCACTGAGACACCCACAGTTTAAATGAGGGGAATTTAATTTGGCTTATAGTTTCAAGGGGATTCAGTCCATGGTTGGCTCCAAGGCAGAAACAATCATGGCAGAAGGGTGTAGCAGAGCAAAGATGCTTGGTTCATGGCGGCAGAGAAGCAGACCAGGGGAGCAGTCGAAGAAGAAAGGGACAGGGACCAGATCCAGATATAGACCTCAAGGCCACTCCTCCATGATGTGCCCAGACACACCCAAAAGTGTGGTCTACCAATCTCTTGGACGGATCTCCAGGCTAATCCAGTTGGCACTGTCAAGAGTAATTATCACAGTGTGATATCCATAAAGCATTTTTTCAAATGTTGGAAATGTCTCATGAGCTTCCATTGCCACTTTTTGGGGGATAGGGGGGATATGGGGGGTTGAACTCGGGGTCTTCACCCTGAGCTGTATCTCCAGCCCTTTTCATTTTTGAGACAGGGTCTCACTAAGTGGCTAAGTTGCCTAGGCTGGGCTTATTACCACTTTTGTACAGCCTGGAACCCCAGGTTAGGGCTATGGATTTGAGATGTTTGTGTTCTAGGTACTTGCTAAGGAAAGTGTGGTCTTAAAAAACAGCTTCTCTGTCATCCAAGAACAGGCTGAATTCCCGTGTCCCCACATGACCTACTGAAGCATATTCCCCAGGTGATTTGTCTTCATTCTAAATTGCAGAAACATTGCTATAGGCTCCCTTCTTGAGAAAGAGAAATTATTTGTAGCTAGCAACTCACGAACATGGGACCCTAAGCTGAAACAGAAATATTCAGGAATTTTGGGCCAAGATTTATAATAGCAAATTACATGAATGCCCTTTTCTATCATTTATAATACCTGCAGTTTCTCTGATGCCTATGTTTCTTGCCTTCTTTTGCCACCTCGCCACCCTGTATCTGAAGAATGCTGCAGAACCCAATGCTAGTCTTTGAGGGTGGGCATCAGTAAATAAAAGCCTTGATCCTTCCCCAGAGATAAATATTGGCACCAGATAAATAGGATTAAAATGGCACCTTTATTTTTGATTAGAGCCATTTTGAGAATGCGTTGAGGGCTACACGGGCTTATTAATATTCCTTTGAACTGAATTTAACTCTCCAAAACTGCAGGCTTCCAAAACAGCAGAGCTTGCCTCACTAAACATGACATGGCTGAGAGTGGGAAGGGCATTTGCTACAGGGTAGCAGGATCCAAAGGAGGGCTGGGTAGGGCCTAAGCCACACGTTGCTTCCATGAAACTCCCAGGAGGAGTGGGTGGATGGAAAGGAGAGATGCTCCAGTGGGACCCTCCCCAGGGAAACATGAGTGAGGTAGGGATAAGGGTTCTCCCCGTTACCTGTTTCAAAGGAGTTTCAGACCAGGCTCGGCTGATTTCTAGAAACCAACTGGTTTCTGAAGGAAGTGTTGTCAGTTATTCACAGGACACAGGCAATGTTCTGGCCTCCAGAGACCTGAGAAAAGCATTGTGGACAGCTGTTTGTTTCTTGCAGAAAGCTGTACCTCTATGCGGCTCATGATGTGACCCTCATGCCTCTCTTAATGGTTCTGGGGACTTTTGACCACAAATGGCCTCCATTTGCTGCTGACCTCACCATAGAACTCTACCAGCACCAGGAATCTAAGGAGTGGTTTGTGCAGCTCTATTACCATGGGGAGGTAAGACCTCTGAGTTGGGCAAGGTGGGTGGCTGGGCACCCTTCCCCAACGCTGCCCACCTGGTTCATCTCCCTCCCTCCGTGGGCCCCGGGAGTTTCCACTGGTACCACCAGGTCCTTGGAGTCCTGTAGCGTGACTCACAGCTGTGGCCTAGAACTAGAGCAGAACTTGGCAAGTGATAGAAAGTGGGACTTGGACCTTATCCCAGTTCTGTTACAGACTCCTAGAAGCAGGGCCACCACCCTCCTGCCCTTCTCTTGAGTATCTCTGCCAAGATGTAACATCCTCATTGTGAGGCCTGTTTTGAAAATTAAAAATGATCTCTTTGGGACGTGATGTGTGTTGTCAGCACCCTTGGTGTCTTAGCTGCTTGATCCTTATTAATCTGCAGGGAGGAGGTCCATGCATTTACCTGGGATGAGACCTTTAGCTCTCCCAGCTTGAGGATATATCTTCATCCCAAGTCAATTCAACAAACATTTCTTGAGTGCCTTTTATAAGCAGGTTGTGTGCTTTGTGTTCTGGAAATGGACTGAGTAGTGGGGCCTTCCTGGGTGTTATATTCATACACTAACATACTGTTCGAGTCAGAGCCTCTCAGGCTGCTGGGCTCAGCAGAAGACAGCAGAAGGATGAGCTCCTCAGTGGACCTGCTGAGTTATGTCCTCTTCCGCAGGAGCAGCTGCCAAGAGGTTGCCCTGACAAACTTTGTCCACTGGAGAAATTCTTGAACACCGTATCACTTTACTCCTTGAGCCCAGAGAAATACCACATGCTCTGCTCCCAAGCACAGGAACTGGAACTTGGAAATGAAGAGTGATTGATTCACACAAATAACTTGATTTTGACATACAAGCCTTTATACCATGCCTCGAGCTTTGACTGTTTGGGGACGGGGCAGGAGTTAAAGTATGCTAATATAAGGTAAGGATATTTCCGTCCTGTAGGTATAGTAAATTCTCTTTCTGAAAGAGAAAAGGTGTAATGTTGAAACTCAGGGAATTTTTCTCTGTTTTTTAGCTTGATTTCTAAGGTCAGACTATATGTATGTGACTTGGGCTGGGGTATTACGACTTTCTACAGTTGTGTTTAGGACTTCAGTTCTTTCTTAATTTAACATTTATTGAGCCCCCTACTAACTAGTGGTTATTATAAAGGTGAAAAGGTTCTGCCTTCAAGTTATTTCAATCTAGTAGGAGAGGCGGTGTCTTAGTTACTTTTCTCTCATTGCTGAGACAAAATGCCTGACACCTAATGTTAATGAAAAGGTTTATTTGGCTCACAGTTTCTACAGGTTTCAGTCTATAGTTGGCTGGCTCTGAAGCAGGGGGACATCACAGAGGAGAAACAGTTCATGGTAGGCAGAAGGTAGCAAAGCAACAAGGGACAACCACAGCTCTTTCTATCTCTTATATCTTATCCAGACTGCTTAGGGCAGGTAGCACTCACACTCTTAATCCTAGTGCCCTTGATCCTAGATTGCACCATGAATCAATCCCAGCATCACACACTCTAGATCCAGCCACCCCTGAAAAAGCCCCACTTATGACCTCATGAGGCTCTGGGGAGACATCTAGACACAAACCATAACATTCTTTCCCTGGCCACCCAAAGACTCATGCACATCCCTGTATGTAAAGGCATTTAGTCCATCTCCAAGAGTTGCCAAAGTCCTGGAAGTTTCAGCATTGCTGAAAAATGCAGGTCCAAAGTCTCCTGAGATTTAAGGCAGACTCTTAGCTGCAAGCCCCTGTACAAATGAAAAGAAAGTTAAACACTTCCAACATTCAGTGACACAAGATAGACATTTCTATTCCTAAAGTTACAAACAGGCAGCTAGCAAGGAATGGGACCAAAGCAAGACCAGAATGCAGCAGGGCAAACAGTAAGGCCACAGTTCCACTTCCAGCATCTTCAGCAATCTGTGGCAAGTTGTGAACTCCAAAGGGCTTGGGTGACTCTACCCGTATGGCACTGCCAGTGGTTGTAGCTCCTTTGGCTTCTCTGTGGGGCTGGCTCTGCTCCCTCTTTGCAGTTTTCTTCAGATGATCCACTTTCCTGGCTTCAAACTTCTGGGGTCTCCACTGTACCTTCGGCTTCACAGCTTCACACACTGCTTTCTCAGGGGCACACTGCCTGGCTTCCCAGGCCTTCTGAAATCTGGGTGGAAGCCTTCCTGACCCCACAACTCTTGCATTCTGCATGTGCCTAAAATCAGTACCACATGGATGATGCCAAGGTCTGCTGCCAGCTGGAGCAGTAGCCAGGCTTCCTTCTCTCTTGGCTTTAGGGGTCCAGTGCCTATGAACCAAATCCTGACTTCCTACGCTGCCACCATTCTGGAACATGGTGCTCTGGGGCTCTCTTCCCAAAGCAAAGTCTTTCACTTTTGCAATTTTGAGGCTATGAACTTACTGGGGTCTCCACTGTACCTTTGGCTTCACTCTCACAGCTTCACACTGGTCCCAAACCTGTTTCTCCTACAGGCAGGCTTCCCTACCTGAATGGAAGATATTTTCATCGTCCACCCAGTTGCGTTTTAAACCAGGAATTTGCCCTTATTTCCTTTAGCTCACATTTTCCTATGTCTGATAAGTTAAGTACCACAAGTTTGTTTCCTGAATTTAGTCAGATTTGTCCATCCTCAATCACACTGCTGTTTGCTATATTTATTTCATTAAGAGAGTAAAAGCAATCAGAGGAAAATGTCCATATCCCTACTACTACCACTGTCAAATCTGCTAACCTACTTACATCGGTGCCTATGAGGCCGGCCGGCGAGTGCCGGGGTCGGCCGGCCGGCCGGCCTGCCTGCCTGCCTGCCTGCCTGCCTGCCTGCCTGCCTGCCTGCCTGCCTGCCTGCCTTCTTTCTGAATGAACTACCTCTGTTATCCAAGGCCCAGCTCCAGGTCGGCCTTGACTCCTATAATTTCCATTTTTCTATATTGCCATTTTTCTTTTCCTATCAGTTATTCCCATTAACATACAAATATGATATAAAATCACCTGTTTTAAATTTTTTTCTCTCCATCTCGAACATTGCACTTGTCTTTTTCCCTTTACAGCAAAATGCAAAAGAATTTCCATCTCTGATTCTTCCTTTCCCATTCTCTCTTGAGCCAGCTATGATTAGGTATTCACCTCTGCCACTCCCTGAAAACAGCCCTGGTCAAAATCATCAATGACCTTTCTGTGGTAAGTTCAGGAGTCAATTTTCAATCTTCCTACTCAGCTTCTCATCAGCATTCTTGGAATGTTTTCTTCATTTTGCTTCTGTCAAGTCAAAAACGCTCTTGGTTTTCCTCCAGTTTCTCAACTTCTTTGTTTTTGCAGAATGTACCTTTGTCTAATCTCTTAAGAATTGGAGTGTTCCTTGGTTTAGTCCTTTTTTCTACCTTTTCTACACTCCCAGGGTGATCTCAAGCAGTGCCATAGTTTTAAATACTATTTATGCAGTATCTCCTAAATTTATACCTTCAACCTCAACCTTTCCCTTTGAATTCCAGTCTCGTTTCTAACTAATCACTGCCCACAATAAACTGTTGTTTCTCATGCCTTTCAAACCTACTCCTTTCACAGGCCTCCTCATCAAGGTAAATGGTATCAAGTTGCGTGGGACAAGAACTTTGGGTTTACCCTTGAGTCTTTTCTTGCTCTAATGTTTTTCTTCTAACACATGAGTAAATCCTGTTGTATCTCTCTTCAAACTATACCCAGAACTGACTGTTTCTCACTTTCATTGCTACTGTCTGAGTTCCAGCATCCTCTCTCACTTAGATTATTACAAAGGAAAAGCCTCTCATCTACTCTCCCTGTTTCTGTCCTTATTTTCTTCACCAATCTGTTCACAACCCAGGTGTTGCTTTTAAAACAGTATGATCATATCATTTTCCTGCTCCAAATTCTCCACTGGTTTCCCATTTCAAAGTAAGGACCAATCATCCTAATGGACCTTCAGGAACTAGAACATCCTGCTTGCACTCCCATTATACTAGCCTCCTAACTAATTCGGTTTTTTCTTAATAGAAACTTTAGTTTTATTTTTAATTGATAAAACATATATATGTATATATATAATTTTTTAAGGGACAAAATTTGATGTATGTATACAATATAGAATGATTAAATCAAGGTAATTAACATATCATTGCCTCACCTACTTTCTTTTTTTGAGGTGAGAATTAAAATCTACTCTTAGGAGTATACAGCTGCCATGGTTGAAATGCCTTTTCCCCTCCAGGTTTCATGTGGAAACTTAGTCCCCAGTGGAACAGTGTTGGGGAGTGGGGCCTCACGGCAGGTGTGTAGCTCATGAGGCTCCACCCTCACGAATGAATTAACACCACTATTAAAAAGGCTTACAGGAGTGGGCTGTCTCTCTTGCTCTTCTGCCATGTGCTGATGAAAGGTTCCTTTTCCAGATGATGCACAAGAAGGCACCATCTTGAAAGCAGAAAGCCCGAGCTCTAACCTGCTTGCATCTTGTTCTTGGATTTCCCATTCTCTGGAACTCCGAGAGAATAAATTTCTTTTCTTTTTAAATTACCTAGCCTGTAACAATCTGTTATAACTGCACAAAACAGAGTAAGACAACAGTACCTTATTAATTATGGTCACTGTGCTGTGCAATAGATCATTTAAACTTATTCCTCTTATTTAATCTAAGCCTTGTATTCTTGAACCGACATCTCTCTTTCCACATCCTGCCACCCCTTTCTTACCATTCTTAAAGACAGAGTATGCCAGGTGACCCTGGGCCATGTCCTCACGTCAGCATCTTTACATGACCTGCTTCCTCTGGCTGGATTGCTCCCCTAGACGTCTGTGTAGATAACTCCCACTCTTCATTCAGATCTCAGCCTTTTGCCATGTCAAAGACCGCCCCCCAGTATTATCCTATGCAGATTATCTCAGAGCCTTCTGCTCCCCCTACCTCTAATATTAGTTATACTCTGTCACTTTGTGTTATGGGCTCCATTATGTCCTCTAAAAATGTGTGT